CCCACCTATGGCCAAAACACAATGGGAGAACAGGACAGACCATGCACGCCTCTCCCCTGAAACAGGCAAGGGAACAGAGGAGGGAGGAAGAAGTGTAGGTAGGCGTGTTGGTCAGTTTACTGCTTAATTAGAGCCTGGAACGATGGGTGTCTGAGCAGGAAGGAGGACTTCCTGAAACCTAAGTGGGAGCTTTTGGGAAGGGAGGATGTATAGACTTGGCTTCAGCAGCCTGCCTCTGAGAGGATGGGGAGGCCTCCAGCCTGCAACACAGACAGAGGTTTTAGCTTAGGGATTTTAGGTCTCTGGGATGGTTGATAGGTTTGCCAGCATTGAGAAGCTAAAGAGGAGAGCACATCATCAAAGACGCTGAGGGGCCTCAGGGAAGCTGCCCAAGTCATCTTGAGAGAGGAGACATTAAAAGTCAGTCATTCCACTAGACCGTGAGCTCCTTGAGAGCAGGGCCTCTTCTTTCATCTTTGTAATCCTCTGCACCAAGCTCAGTCCTCTGCACATCGAAGGCTTAGTAATGTTTGTTGAATTGGACCACACCTGGTATCAGCCACAGAGCTGTTCCCTCCTACAGGGCTACACAACCCCTCAGCAGCAAGAAACCTCCAGAGACCCTGCCTGAAGAGAGAGAATGGGGTGGGGTGGGCTGCACCAGGGTGGCAGGCACAGCCTGGCTCTGGCTACCAGAGCGAGCCTGCGGCAGAGGTTGGGGATGTCAGGGATCAGCAGGGGAGAAACAGGGGAGGGGCTGAGAGCTGTAGCGCCCCTCCCCACCCCCGTCAAGGTACGTACACTCAGATTATTCCCACGAGGCCGGCCCTTTCTCCTCTGTCACAGCCCCACAGGATGGTGCACACAGAAAAAACAGAAAGAAGAAAATAAATATCAAAGCAAAAAAGGAAAAGGAGGAGCTGGTTGGTGGGAAGAGAAATCATGTAAAAATGCCATCGTTGAGTGAGGGGGACAGCAGAGGGAGGATGGGGAGAGAGAAACCTGAGGGAAAGGGAGGAGAGCAAAAAGAAGGAAAATCAGAAAAGATTAATGTCATCAGTGAGAAGCCACTCCAGAGAATTAATCTCAGAGCGTATTACACTCTTTTAGTTATGCTGGGCAGGTTTGCTTGGAACAAACCACTCTGCTGACATGTTAAGATTGAAGAAGACAGACAGGAAAAGGCCAGACAGATAGAAAGACAACAGGGAGGCACATGACCAATGAATGTGAGATAATGAAAGCAACATGGAGACTGGAGCAAGTTTCCCAGCACCCTGACCATTGACCCTGCCTCATGCAGTAAGTCCCCTGACCCTGCCTCCCCATTATATGCAGGTGGTCTTCACAGCCCATTCTTGCCTTTGCTAAAAGCTGCAGTGTTATGGCCCTAGTCTCCTCATTCCACTGATGCTGGCAAGACCCTGGTGGGCCTCATTGCCAAAGGCCTCATTCTCATAGGTTGAGGGTGTGTGCACATGTGTCTCTAGGGCATGCAGTTCTCATCCTGTCCACCATTCCTCCCACTCTGGCTCCCAAAGCCCTTCCCTTCCTCCTTAAGCAGATGCGTTCCCAGAATATGGAAGGAGGGGAAGGGATTCTTCCTGATGAACTTCTGCCCCTAGAGGAAACAGTGCAGCCTTTAGTAGAGTTTAGCGATTCCTACCCCCTCTCAAGCCACCCACTGTCCCAATGCAAATGCCACACATGAAGCTTATCTAAAGCCAAACATGCAAACACATGGACTAGTCCAGGGTCTTTCATAGACTCACTGGCCATTCATGTGCCATTCTGTCCATCCATCCATCCATCCATCCATCCATCCATCCATCCATCCACCCATCCACCCATCCATCCAGCAGCCTTTGGAGGGCCAAGCCATATCAGACACAAGTTTAGCTCTCAATTTCTGACTACTGTGATAGACATTTGCCTGAAGTTGGAAGGTTTTGCTAACACCATCTTTCCCCATACTACCTCCTGGATGAAACTCAGTCACAGGAGGAGGCCAACCTAAGAATAGGGGAGGTACAGCTTTGACTTCTGGGTAACAATGCTCAACCCATGGAGTTAGAATTCCTTTCTTCTCTCCTGCTGTGCACGCGCACATACATACAAACATCTTACAACATGGATAGGAGAAAAGCCGACAGGTTGGTAACACAGCTCAAGAATCAACCACTTAGAAGTCAGCACACACACATGCACAAACATCCACACGTGCATGGATATGCACACTCACACCAAAGACCCTCCTAAAGTCTCAGCTTTATCAGGATGAAGACTACAGTTCACATGAACCTCTGCCATGCTGGGATTGGCCCTTGCTGTAGACATACTGAGGTTGCCCTAGGCTAGGAGCATGCTCATGCGGCACCGGAAGCCTGATGGAATCTGTCCACTGTCTGTCCATCTGTCTGTTAGGGCCTTGGTGTTCCAAGGCCAAGTTCCCTTTAGCAGACCAATTCCTGGGAGTAAGGCATGGGTTCCCTTATCCTTCCACATTCTCAGCAGTATCCGTTTGGATTGAACATCAGAAAAACCAACGGGTTTTAAGGGGTACCCATGTCATCACCCACACGTGCCACATCCCACCCTTAACCCTCAGAATGGGAGAGCTGGCCACTCCCACTATGTGCTCTGCACTGAGAAGGCACTTAATATTTGTTATATTGTTGAATCAAACTGACCCCCCTAAGTCTTGCCTCTTAGTCCAGCTGCCAGAACAATCCATTGTTTTTCCAAAGTGACTAGGAAGAGGAGTAAGGTCAGTGTTCTCCCGTCCCTGGCTTTACCTCACATTCACTACTCCATTGGTTGTTAGTGCTCACAAAAAAGCTCTCTCCCTCCCTTTCTTCTCCAAGTTAAAAGTGATATATTACCTTTAGTCTCAATTTCACCCGCCTTCCTGGATGTGAAATGTGTAGGGCGCTAGGCCTCCACACTAATAGGCAGGAAGTATTGAAGGGGCTGGATTAACTGAAGCCCCATGTAGGAGCAGGAAAGCTGACAATGGCGCCCCTACTAGTCCTGCTTCCCAACCTGAATCCCCACTCTGGCACCTTCCCCCAGCCAAAATGGCAGCAGGCTTTAAGGATTGATCTTAACTATGTTGACAATGTAGAAGGATTTACAAAGGGAGTTGTCACCACCCTTATCCTTCAGACACCTTCTCACGTTCTGACTCCTTGGGAACGGTCTAGCCTCTCCAGCTTAATGAAAGTCTCTCCCCACTTCAGGGAAGTAACAGAGCTCAAGCTTGCTGGGCGTGATGAAAGAGGTGCATAGAGGGAATAGGTCCAAGGGACTTGTACTTTAGACAGTCCCAGAAACAACTAATTATTTCTTCTTTGTAGGCTCTTCTTTGCCAATATTGAATTTCTCCCCTTTCTTGCCACCCCTCTCCAACCCAAGCAATGGGCCAGATGCCAACATAGTCACTGGGGACCCAAACTCATTCAAAGTTAGCCTAAGCCAGTTACCAACTAAGGAAGATCCAATGTTATACACCAAGCCAACAAAAACAGAATAAAACTAGATCCAAGGATGAACAGATTTCCATTATTAATACTCCAAGCTTATCTCCGTTAGCTCTCTGCATTGGCTATCAAATATGTATGTATCTATCTATTCATACACACGTGCATATGTAGATATTGTGGTGGGGGTAGGGCAAAGGCCCAGTGAAGAGGTTTCTGAGTGGTCTCCTGACTGGCTCCACCCCCTGAAGTCTCTGACCTTGGGGAAAAGCTCTCCAAACTCCTAAGGAATCTGCAACATCTTCCCCTCTACCCACCCAAGCTAGCCTGGCCTTATCCCAAGTAGCCAGAATGCTGTCTGTGCTCTCAGGGAGAGTCACTTGAACCATGTTTTTCTTCAATTCCTTTGTATTCAGCTCCTTATCCCTATCCCCAAACTCCCTACACCATGGAACACTTAATAAATGATGACCTATACTCCCCAGAAAGGGAAGGTATATCTTTCAAAAGTACAAAATCTGTGTGAAAAATACCCCATCCCTCTGGGGTTGGGGCTATGGAGCAGAGTTGGAAGCCTCCTTAGGCAACAGCTGCTCTCTGGGGGAGAGGGCCCTCTGTGGGCTCACCTGCCCCCTTGGAAGGTTCCGATGAAAGCCCCTCACCTGGTTTTCAGCTGGGAGCCGGGGCATGGAGGTGGCTCTGCCCTGCCCTTCCATAGGGAGGTAGTGGTCGCTGTCTGAGTAGCCGTCCTTCCCCATCTCTCTCATCTCCACAGACTGCAGGGGACACAGCAAGGGGGTGGATGAGCCTGAGGCTTGAAGCGTGTGGAGCCAAGGGGATCCCAAAGCAGAACCAGGAGTCCTGGGCACTAGCTCTGGCTTCTCCTATCCTACTGGCCAATCAGCCTAGCAGATGGATACTCATGTGGTGAATACTTTATAAGTGATTTGTGTGTCATGTGAAAATGTTTAGCTCCCATGGGCTTTGCCACAGGCTTCCTTAGCCAGCTATTACACCTCGATTAATTAATACATCTAATTAATAATGTTAGGTCTACTCTGTAGACCTTACATTCAGTTCTCTTCTTTCCTGACTACTTTAGGGCTGGGGTTGGGGAAAGAGAATTCTAAATTACTTCCACAGTCTTAGCATCTTTGGACTAGCCCTGCGGTGGTAGTTTTAACATCAGTAGATTGACTGGCCATCCCATTTTAGCTCCTTGGCCTGGTGGCCCATGTCTCATTTGCCTTCCCTGCTCAGCAGGAGAAAAGGGCGTCTGTGCTAACTCAGTAAAAAGGACTGTGAGATACCAAACAGAAAGGGATATGAGACGGTCTTGCTTGTTCTTGATTTTTCTTTTTGCCACTTTCTGCCCACCCTCCACCCCCATGTCTCCTTGCCCTTCACATAGTTTTTTTGTCCCTTAGCCTGGGAAGTGACAGTCCACTTCTCCCCGGCAGAAGAAGCTAAGGGAGGCTGCTGACTTCTGTCATTGTTCTCTCTTTGAGGAAGTGAAACCCTTATCTTACTGTGACTAGCAATATGGGTCATACTTGACTATAAAGTATTTATGATTTTGAAATTCACAATTTGAGTTTTATCGGAAATCTTTGTCTGGCACCTGAGGTATGTCATCAAAAGGAACTTGGGGAGATGGGGTGGGCTGATGACCTCTTCTTTAAACAGCAGTGTCACTCATTGGATTAAAGGTATGTCTTACGCCTCTATGCTGCAAATTATTACAGTATTTAGAGCTGGAAGGACCTTTGGAATCTTCTGGTCCAACCCCTTTATTTTACAGATGGGGAAACAGAGGCAGTAAGTAGCATAGCCAGGACTCAAGCCCAGTTTCTCTCTGTGCCCTTTCCACTATAGTAGGATGCTTTCTGAGAACCACAGATAGAACTTAGACCTGGAGATAGGCTGTCAGCAAAAAGCTTTGGAAAGGGAAGTAAAAAAGGCAGCTTGTCTGTCTCCAGGTTGCTGGGTCACAGTTGAAAACTATAAAGGATCCCTAGCAACTAGACCTAGATGTTTATAAGAGGAGATGATAGAGCAAAGAACGTTGAGTTGGTATTAACAAACAGCTCATTAATATGTTCTAGACAAACAGCCTAGGACAGAGAGACATAAGTCAGAGCGGAATGATGGACTCCTTGGTAGCTAGAGCTACAAAGACCTTAAGAATGGTAGAGAGAACTTTTTGTGGGTCTGCCTGACTTTAAGATTACAGGATTTAGAGGGGGATGCTAAAGACCAGGGAGGTTATGACTTGCTTAAGGCCACACTGCTGGGGAGTAGTAAAGCAGGGTTTTGAACCCAGGTCTTGCAACTCTGGTTAGATGCAGTGCTCTCTGGACACCACCCCAATGCAGGACCACCTCTGATAGGTGTGCTGTTGTAGACAGAGCCCTGGACTCCAGAGAGAGAGGCTCGGAGCTGCTCTGGGACCCGATTCTATTCTGTTACCTCTCTGAGCCACGGTTGCCTCATCTATAAAATGGGAATAATTCAATACCTATCTCATCAGGTTATTTTATTTTATTTTATTTTTGTTTTTTTTGTGTGTGTGTGAGGTAATTGGGGTTAAGTGACTTGCCCAAGGTCACACAGCTAGTGAGTATCATGTGTCTGAGGCCTGATTTGAACTCAGGTCCTCCTGACCCCAGGGCTGGTGCTCTATCCACTGTGCTGCCCCCCATCAGGTTATTTTAAAGAAAGCACTATGGAGATGGGAGGATTTGTAATTTTTCTGCAGATACTGTGGAATATAGGGTCAGAGGCAATCACTCTAAAAGCTATGTGCCAGCTAAGCCAAGCTGTGTCTGCATGTGGCTACGTATACTTATGTTAGGATAAGAGCTCTATCCTCTGGACATGTTTCTGTTTCTACTTTTCCCTTCCTTGCCTACCTACTAATGCCCCACTTTGAAAAATAATTTTGTCTTCATCCAGGCCAAGAGAGCCTAGGAGGGGACAGAGAGTGGCCCCTGAGGCTGTGTTATTCTTTAGGCTTGGGCTATTAGGGAGGGAGTCAGTTTCATACTTTGTTTCTTCTCTCATCACTGACCCCTTCTCATCCTATTCCTCCCTCATTGCTTCCTCCTTGGCTCAGTGCCCCTCCCTTTCCCTAAGTAAAGTAGGAATTAGCAAGACTTGGTCCTTTGTGGGCCCCATTTAGGCACGAGGATATAAGTACCTGAGAGCTGGGTCGGCTGTTGGGCAAATCATCAGGAGGTCCTCGTTCAGGGCTCCACGTCCCTGTCTTCTGGAACATCTCTTGGGCACGCTGGGTCACCCAAGATGGACTGTCCTTCATGCCACCTTCATGGGCCAGACTGCAAAGGTGGGATGGAGAAATAAGCAGTGAGTCCCCCCTCCCCCTGTGCCTATACCTCTCCTAAACATCCCATAATTTGGTTAAGAATTTAGAAGTCTGTGTCTTATTCCCTCTCCAAGACTGTGAAGTCCTCAAGAGCAGGATCTTCAGCTCTGTGTAGATGCTCTGCAAATGTTTGCTAAATAGAAATGAAAATGGCAGGGTGATCCCTTGGCCTACTCCTCTGCACCCACTTCCCCTGCGAGCAAGGCACCCTCCTGGCCTCTCAATAGGATGATCTCATTTAAGTGCTCAGGGACCAGCAGGGGCACAGCGGGGAGCCTTTCCTTCCAACCTATCAATCCCTTTCCCCACTCTCATCCCTATCCCTTGAAGAGGGAACCCAGTGTTCCCACTCCATTCCCTTGGGCTTGCTCCCAATGTGGGCCATGGTCCTTGAAATGCACGCCTCTTGCCAGGCAGACATGGTCACTCACATTGTTTGGATGAGACTCGGAGTCACCAACTACGTCTTTTTGGCAAGACAGAGGACCACCGTGCCTTACCAAATGCCTCTACACTGTTTGTTTGGCTGGGCAGTACTGACTCTCTTTTGGGCATTGTCATCTGACCAACTGTTGCACTCTCAGAAACAAGGTTTTTTCCCCCATATACCCTACAGCTGGATCCTCCCGTATTTGTGGTCTCCTCTAATTAGAATGAGAATTCCTTAAGCACAGGGACTGTTCTGCCTTTTTATTTGTATCAGTTGCTTAGCACAGTGCCTGGTACATAGTAAGCTCTCTTTTTTTTCTCATTCATTCTTTCAAAAGGCAGAGTGTCAGAAGTGTGGGAGGGGGTGCCTACTGTGATCACTCTGGGCCATACTCACAGTCCTCCTTGGTCCAGCTGGGAAGAGGGGAGTGCATTCTGACCAGGGCCACCCTCCTGAGTTGGGGATGGTGGCTCCATGCGCTGAAACATCAGTGGTGTCCGGTTCTGTAGGAACAGATGATAATTCAGAGGGACATAAGGCCAGTTTGGTATCTCAGCTGGGTGTCTTTGACTATGAAATAACCAAGATGTGGGGCTTGGAGGCTCACAGGTGAAAACACAGAAGGAGGAGGAAGAGGGTAAGGGACAAGGGAGGAAGGAAAAGAGGGAGAAGAGACGAGAAGAAAGTGTAGAAAAATAGGAGTGGGCAGGGGCAGAATCACTCCTCTGTATTAAGAAGAAACCTGAGGCACAGAGAAGCTGAGAAATGTATGATCTCAAGGAGGCTTCTCTGGCTTGGGAAGGGATGACAGAAACTACAGGAGGACCTTGCCTCAAAGAAAGGCTGGATAAAGTTAAAGGAGTTTGTGTTTCTGAGTCTGGAGATGACTGAGGAAGGATACTTAATGTCAATTTCCTAGGACATGAGAGTTCATTTTTATAAGAAGATCAGTAATTTCTGTTTTCCAACTTCAGTAAATATATAGTAGAAAGAAATTATGAGGAATGGCTAATAAGGGAAATCCAGGTAAGATATCTAGGGAACTCCCAGAAGCCATGTTTAGGGAGAAAAGAAGAGTAGCCAAAGGAGGCTGTGCAATCGCCTCTCTGAACAGCCTCATAGCAAAGCAAGGGGATGGACAAAGTCTGGGACACCAATGGAGTCTCCCTCTTCTTCCCCTTCTAGATGAACAAGGAGACAGAGATAGCCCAGGCCCTCTCTGGCCTCTGGCTGATGGGCCCCAGCTAGACTCCCCCTTTGTAGCCAAGCTGGGCCAGGCTGTAGCAGTCTGGGCCTATACTCACCTGCTCCTCCCTCAGGGCCTGTAACTTCTTTGCCTTGCTCTGTCGGTAATACTCCATGATCATCATGGCTGCGTATATCTTTCCCACTGTCAAGTCTGTAGCTGTGGGCAAATGGGACAGGCAGGCTCTGTGTGAGAGAGACCTAGGCTGTTCCCCAGTGCAGATCTCCAACCCAGTTCCAGCCAATATCTCTTTGCCTTTCTGAAGAGCCCAAGCCTATTTCAGAAGGGAACTTGGGGGCCCAGGAGAATCATAGGAATTGGTGGCAGTGGGCCAGAGGAGAAAGGTAAGTAACTAAGCTGGGATTTGAACCCAGGTTCTTCTACTCCAAATCTAGTCATCTTTCCACTATCGCCGATGCCTCCCTTTGTACTCTGCTGCCTCACAGAGTGTTAGGGCTAGAAGGTGTTTTCGAGATGACTTCTTCGGGGGTCAGGGCCTGACTTCTAGGTCATTGCTTTAACCATTAGTTTGTACTGCCTGTCAGGAGGTAGGCGTGTGGCTGCATGTGTCCTTGGTTCCCACCATGCCTCCACCCTCTTCAAACATGGGGGAGCCTGCCTGCCGTCTCCCTGACCATTCTTCCCTACCCCATCCTTCTTCTTTTGCAGACTTCACAACATTAGCCCAGGAGCTTTCTCCAAAACCCCTACCCCAGAATAAGGAGCTATCCTAGGGCCTCACGGTAAGGCTGCTCTTCTCCTGGGGCCTGGAGGAAGTACTGGGAATCATTCTTACATTTGTGGGGGGTGACGAGGAGATCCAGTGTCTTTTGTGAAAGGTTGGGCCAAATGGCCATCATCTCCTTCCGTAACTCAGCGTCCATCTGCTGTTTATCTGCTCCTCCTGTAAGGTCAGCCAGAGAACACTGTGAGTGTGGGGCCTGCTCTCTGGCCCCACCCATGTGGCCATCCCTGGCCACAGACTGGCTTTCTGGCAGCAGCCCTTCCTCTTGTCCCAGTGGGCTGGTTGGAGCCAGACCCGCACTATGAGGTAGAACTTCTGCCTGATAAGCTCTGGAAGTGACAGGGGCCTAAGGCTGGCAGGAGATTTCCAAGGGCTGAAGATGAGTCTGGAATTTAAACTTGGATATCTAAGCCTGAAGAGGAGACTGGGGAAAGTCAGCAATGGAGATTGAAATTCTACCTGCCTGCTGGACAGCTCCATCCAGGATGGACCACCAACACCTCCAACACTTCATGTGTCTAAAACTGACTTTGGCTTCCCCTAAAATAGCACCCCCCCCCATTCTTGCTTCTGTTGAAAGCCCATTGTCTTTTCAGTCTTCCATGATTATGCTATCAGTCACTTTTGACTCTTTCTTTCCCATCACACCCCACATCCCATCAGTTATCAAGTCCTGGTATTTCTATCTTAGCAATGACTCAAACGTGTTCCCTCCTCTCCATTATTAGCACAGTGTTTGGCACACAGTAAGTGCTTAATAAACGCTAAATGACTAAGTCAGGTCCTTATCTCACCTAGATTATTGTAATATCATCCTAAC